TTTTTTTTTAAAAAAAAATTAGATGGCGCATACCCGATATGTGAAATGGCGAGTACCTGATATGTAGAACGGCGGGTACCTGATATTTGAAACGGCGGGTATTCGTTCCCTTAATAATTTAAAATTTCCAAAATAAATTAATAAACCGTTATAATATAAAGCGCATACACGTTAAATTATGTAGCGTATACACTTATGGCGGGTTACCCCTGAAATTGACAGGTTAACCCAACAGAACAGGGGTAGCTACGCACTTTTGACCACTACCGCTTTGCCATACGTAGAATACCTTAATTATGGGGCGCAGTATTATATTTAGAATTAGTGTATAAATTTTTAGTAGTTTAAAATTGTATGACGTCACAAATGTAGCGTCTGGGATGACGTTAAACTATAGACCATGTGATTTGAGTAACAAGTTATAATAAATTTCAAAAACATGAAAAATCAAAAATGATAAGTTTCAAAGTGTGCAGTTTTATTGAGTATGAAATTGGGAGAATTTAAAATTTTATAGTTTTGAGTTGAAAAAGATAAAATGTTTCTTAGAGAAAGTATTTTAAGATATTATAAAAAGGGTAAATTTTGAGTATGTGAAATCTCATGATACGAATTTTGGGATTTATTTTTAGTTATATTTATATTTAGTTATATTAAACCAAGCATATATTTGTATTTATTTAAATTATTATTTTGTTAAGCAACGTGACTTATCACGGGCTTTGGTCTTACAATATTCATGACTCCCCGTTAAATGACTATTACCTATTTAATTACCTTGTAACAAAATGGTTTAGACTCTTTCATAATAGCTGAAATGAATGATGAGAAGCTATTTCATAATTTCATAATCTTAATCTTGAAAAATAATTTATAAGTTACCTTATCAAAAAAAGATGTGTTCTTCCTTAGAAGTTTCTTTAAATTTTTTAATCGCATAATTTGCTGATGTATGCAAAAAAACTTATGCCAATATCTGTATTAGTCGCTGATATTTTAATTTTTGTTATACGCTTTCTTTCAGATATATATCCAGAAGCATACCCTTCTGTAAATCAAGGAAAGAAAACAAGAGCACAAATGATTGATCAATGAATTAGTTTAATTATATTCTGTAAAATGCTAAAAATGCTATATTTTTCTTTCAACGAATTGTTAGTTCAATTTTATTTTGCAAAATGCTGTGTGCTAATAAAGTATTTTTTTTTCCTCACATTATGCTCAAACTTTTATGCTTCTGTGTGCAACTTCTGTCACTTCTGTCACAGGTTATATATAATTAATGATTTTAAATTTACTATCATTTTGGAAGATTGTTGATATCCAGCCAAAAATCTAAAAACACAAAATTTTTTTAACTATTAAAAGATTAGTCAAATGTATCTCTTTATTTATAATAAACGTAAAAAAATTTACCTAAGAGATTAGCAATGTAAAAATATGATGTATTAATCAATAAAATTCTAGATCAACTAAGAAATTCTCAAGACTTGATAACATACTATTATATAAAGAGTCAAAACCAATATTTTAATAAATTCTGAACCTTTTATATATGGCCAGTTTCTTTTATTTGATGAAAGCATATCGATGTTATCGAGAATGAGATTGCTAAATTTCTTTCAAAAGGTTATTATTATTAAAAGTTAGTCAAAAGTAGGAATTCATTATTTTTTCAATTCCAAAGTGACCATTGCTGAGAGAATTATAGTAACGTCAAATACGAAATCCAGTACGAAATTCAGTATAAAATAAAGTAGACGAAAATAGATTATGAGGTTATGATTAATTACTAAAACTAGGTAACGGAAACCTTTGGAGAGTCCAAACATTAATCAGTAAAGAAATGTACTACCTACTTCCAGATATTACTAAAAAATGTAACATCAAAATAAATTCTTAAAAATCTAACATACTGTTTAAGTCAGAATGTTAAATGTTATACCTGATCTTGAAAATTGATTGGTCATTTACGCAGCGGGACAGTACTAATAATGTTTCAATAAACTAAGTTAAAAGAATAAACCTTGCTCCTTTTGTTTCTGAAAGCGTTGAGATCCGTATTACTGATCAACGGACTGGTTTACGCTTTACAGTAGATTTGCATATAAATACTGATATCAATACATAAGTATTTATTATATATTAAAAAGGACAATTTTTTTTTTACAATAGATTTCACATTGTATAAATTCTTAAAGAATAATTACTACTAATGAAATTTAAATATTTAATAAGATAGCAGTTGAAATTCAATAATATTATTGATATAATGTTAGATACTGTATTATTTGACATATTTCTAAAGATTAAATGTTTAAAAATAAAAGAATCATTAGAAGATAATTATTCGCCATACTTTTCAGATCGTTGCTGCGCTTAAAGGGTTATCCTGACGAAATTCTTTGTGATCATCAGCTGATTTGTTTAACTTATTCTAAATTTGTCGATCGCTGCTGTGCGACTGTAATACATTTTATAGTGCCGTGGATTTTGAAAAAAATAAATAAAAAATCCCTTTTACTCATTAATATAATAGTTTTACCATCCAAATATGGAAGAACTTATGCTCAGTAGCGAAGTAATTGAGCAAATAAAAGATTTTAACTATCAGAAGTTAACAAGTGAACAAAGTTTGTTAATAGATAAGCTAATATTAAACGAAGAATTGAAAAATCGTTTTAAATGGTATGGTTTATGTAATGAATGTAAGCAGCCCAAAACTGCTTATGTTTGGTGTCAGTTGTGTGGTGCCAAACATTTTCAACAAAATTTCAAAAATTGGACTAGTGGAAACCATGAAGTTGATAAATTTATTCAAAAAACACAACTTAAAGCCAATAATGATAGAGAAATTTTAGAGTGGATTGAATATGATAGATTTGAAAACGTTGAATATTTGACCAAAGGAGGGTTTGGAACTATTTATAAAGCAATTTGGAAAGATGGATGTATAGAAAAATGGGATACTGAAAATAATCAATGGAAAATAAGTAAAAATATTGTTGAAAGGCATGAAAATTTTCCAGTTGTTTTAAAATGTTTACATAACTCACAAAATATTACAGCTGAATTTTTAAAAGAAGTAAGTTGATATTTATATAAATTGAGACTTTCTAATTTATAAATTATATAAATGATAAACTAACTTATATAAATTCTTTTTAGATTGAATCACATATGGTTACATCTTTTTTTGGTTTTGTAATTCGCTGCTATGGCATTACTAAAGATCCAGAATCTGATAATTTTAAGATGGTAATGGAATATGCAGAAAATGGAAATTTAAGACAACATTTAAATAATAATTTTAATTCAATGAAATGGGAAGAAAAGTTAAATATTTTACAAAAAATCGCATGAGGCCTTGAAAATATTCATGATAAAAATTTAGTTCATAATGATTTTCATTGTGGTAATATATTGAATGGTAGCATTAATAGTCATGATTTTTTCGTTTACATTGCTGATTTAGGATTCTGTCGACCAGCAAATGTAGTACCTTCTCAAGATGAATATAAAGAAATATATGGAGTATTACCTTATGTAGCACCTGAGGTTGTAAGAGGAAAAGAATATACTAAAGAAAGTGATATTTATTCATTCGGTATTATTGCATATGAAGTCTGTACAGGGTTTCCTCCTTATCATGATATTGCTCATAATCAATTCTTAGCTATTGGAATTTGTCACGGCCTTAGGCCAAAATCTAATTATAAAATTCCTCAACTAATTTTGAACATAATTTCACAATGTTGGGATGCAGATTCTTTAAAACGACCTAAAGCAAATAAATTAGTTGATTTATTGGAAGATTTATATAGGAGTTTGCGAGACCATGGTACAAGTAATTATGAAATCAAAAAGCAAATTGAAGAAGTAGATAAAATTAATGAAAAGCTATTTTCTTCCTCATTATCACATACTGGTACTTCTCTTTCATATACTACAAATCCTCAAGCAGTTTGCACGAGTAGACTTTTAGACTTTAAAAATCTTCCAGAACCAATAAATGCTATTGATGATAATTCAATTGAATATTCAGGTAATTCATATCTTATTTTATTATCAGGAGAGAATTCTCAAATACTTATAATACAAAATTACCTTTATCTTATAGAATCCATAGAATCAATAGATTTCACTAAACTCAACCTAGGTACTCATTTAAATTAACTTTTTGCATGTTTAATTTACTAATAATTTACTGTAAATAATTTTATTTTTATAGATAAAAATAACTAAATGAAAGAAAAGAAAGAAAATTTACAATTATTCAGAATATAAACTTATTATTGGTGTCTTTTGTTCGCTATTATCTTCTTTTATCACTACAATATATATTTTATTAAAATACTAGGTGTAGCCCATCATGCTATGCCAGGGAATGGAGGGTGCCATAATGATTAAAGGAAGAGAGTAATATAGCAATATATTTGCAGCATACCTGATTTGTAATGCAAACATTTCCAGATTTTCTACTGATATCATTACAATTGTATAAGTATAAGACAAAAAAAAATTAGATAATCATATCTTTATTGCAATCATGTAATGTAAATGTTACATATAAAATGTTATTACTATATTACATATAAAATGTTACAATTAAATACAAATTCTATTTATAGAGTAAAATCTTTCATAATATACAATGTTTGTTGTAATAGAATTGTCACTATTGTCTATAAGAACCTTAATGTATTGATATGAGGTTAAAAAACATGTTCAGGTAGGTAAACACCAACCCTGCCTGAAGTTTTTCCTTGTGATTTATTAATTGCCATTGCAAATGCAACATGTACAGGAAGCTGTTGATGACCTAAAACAAAGGGCAGTTTGGTTTCTGATGTTGTAAGTGTAATATGTGGAATAAATACATGTTTACTAATATGTGAATATTTTACAATTTCAGCATCAATAACTTTTCTTTGAAGTCCATGACAGATCAGTCTAGTTCCATTGCAGAGGCCTTCAAATAGGTTTAAATTTCATAGAAGTATAATTGGTACTCCTATCTTTAATTTCAACTCACCAGAAGGGGGTTCAAGAATTTTTAAAGATTTTAAAATTCAGATGAATAAAGTTGAGGCTGTTCTACTGCATCTTCTAGTAAATTTATGTAGTCAGCATTGGGATATGAAACAAATTTGCAGGAATTTGCTCTATTATTATTTCTGAAATGATGCTAAAATTGCTTACTAACCATATAGTTAACATGCCACAATTATCAACTAAATCTGGGTAAACAAATCAATCAGGTTTCTTAAAGTTCCTTTAGTTATTACTATATTGGAAGGAAGAGTAATCATATCCTCTGTATCAGAATTGATTGTATATCGTCAGTAATGTTTTAGGAGTTATTATCCATGTGAAATCCTTATTTTCCACCTCAGCAGATCCTTAGAATTAAAAGTTCAAAGAATTCTGAAAGGTTTTAAGTTTTTTAAGGATTTAATATAATCAAATTTTTCATAATATCATTGTATTAATTATTAATTTACATTTAATATTTTATTATAAATTACTATATTATAGATTAATAATAATATAGATTACATTAATTACATTTTAATGTGCTATATTTACTAATTTTTTATGTATAAATTCTCTTTTTACATCAAAATTAAACTATTATTTAGAAAATATCATGGGTCAAAATCAAAACTTTCAACCATTAAGAGCTTTCAGCATGATTTTTGCTGGTTGGTTATGTGATTCATCACATTTTTTGACCAATGGCAAATATCAGTAAAATCAATCACAAAAATTGACTGATTCTGATTGTTAAATGAAAGCTTGTTCAGTTTTTAGTGAAAAAATCAACTTATACTAATTGTTATACAAAAAATTGTTCCTTTAAGATCATTCAGTAAAATTATGCCAATAAACTGTTAATTGCCCATACTCTTTAATAGCCATGATGACATGTTAACACCAATTATGGAGTTTAGGCAACTGAAGTTCTGATGATGAATACTTTTAAAAAGCTTTATAAACCATTTTGCCCAAGTTATAATTAGATTTTACAAATAAAATAAAATATCATGTTAAACATGTCAATTGTTAATAAACACAAAATAAATTACTAATCTTTATACTTTAAAAGTCTCCAGCTCCAATTTTAAAAAATATTTCCATTGACTGACAGATACATCTTATTCCAGTAATAAAACATGTCAACCAATGATTCATCAGCTTATTAGCTTGATTTGCATTCATTGTTTCTTTATGATATTTAATAATTATTTCTTCAATGACAAAAATAAACACCTTTATCATATTTTGGAATTCATCAACAGTAAACTGCTTAATATTCTCCAACTCATTTTTAGCAGATTTTAGCTAAATGAACATTGACTGCTGTTTGCTCACATATTTCTTTCAACATCTCTCTTGTGTAAATCACTTGGTAATTAAACAATCCCAATTCAAGGTGATGCATCCAATCAGGAATTATTGACAAGCAAATATTTAAGTGACTATAATATATTGTTGAATGAATATTATTAGTAAATTGACATGATTAACATGATTAAACATTTTTTTTTAACAATACACATGATACTTACAGATAATCCAAAAAATGTTCTTTATTTTATGTAAAGAATACCATTGTGCAAGCCCCTGCTAAACAAAAGTTTCATAGTTATTAGTATCCTCAAAATAATTTGATCATCTGTTAACTCTACATTATTCAATTTTCATTTTCTATCAAATACTGATGATAGGGCAACTACAATTAGCGGAATTAAATGTCAAAAGTTACCACAGCATTTTCAGGAAGATCACCTAACATCACAGAAATAAATGGAATAATACCATAACTCATTATTATCCATTTGAAGATTAAACCCATTGATATTATAGTCAAGTATTGGTTGTGTCAATATATTCAAGGAATTGTAAAGAGTGTGTTTTGCTAACTTAAAACTCTTAGATTTCTTTTGAGAAATAGTTTTCACTTTTAATTGTGAAAAATATCCTAGCAGTACTTTAGCAGTGTAATATCATGATCAGTCAACTGCTTCAAATACAAACTTGTACATCATAAGAGCTTCATCCCAAATGAAAAGTTTTGCTATATTAATTAAACATGCCAATTGGATATTACAAAAAATATTACATGTTAAAAATTCATCTATTTTTGAAGGGATTTTAAACCTAAAATGTGCTGTTCTACCACCACTTAATAATAAAATAGTGTTAATATCAGTTCTTTTATTGTTTATTAATATAAACAAAAGATTATTTGGTAAGCAGAAGGTATATAAGTATAAGTAATATGATGATATATAACGCAAAGTTAATAAACACAATAATATCTATAAATTACAATTGACCAAAATTACTTCAAATCCGATCAGATGTGAATAAGGTATTGCACTCCCAATGGCAAATATGATCAGACACAAATAAAGGATTATGACAATAAATGACAATAAAACAACAGGTTAAGTGTATATGACGACAAATAACAATGAGATAACCAAAGATATTTATTACAATAAAATATTTTATTTAATATCAATAAATTATCACTTAATATCTTAGTGACTTGGATACCTATCTAAAATACATAGAAAAATAAAGCATCTATTTATATGTAAAAACACTAAGCTAAAAATGTTTAAAATGTTTGATATGTTTAATATGTGCAATATATCTAATATATTTGATATATTTGATATATCAAACATTTTGAACATTGATCCTCCCGTTATATGACGTTGATCATCCAACGGTAATATTAATTGTCCCAATAAATTACCATCGATCAATGGTTATATCACGTGATTTCATCACATCGTTTTTTTTATCGTAACAATAGCAATTCCAGAAGATACTACTGCTATTGCAATATCACTATGTAACCTGATATTAGCCAGTAAGATATTATAGAGAAATGTTTTCCAGTAGAATTGAGATATATATTTTGTGTTGAAGGAATTGGCATATGAGGAAAATTTTTTAAAGATGTTTCATTTGATTGAAGGTAATGTTCTATTTGAATAAGTGCTTTATTTTCTATTATATCATTTAAAATAATAGCCTGAAATGGAGAAAGTTGTTGTGCATTGTATAAAAGATTTTCACATAATGCCAATTTATGTGTATTCCATAATAATTCAGGTGCTGTAGGCTGGCACAATGATGTTGTAGCTATTTTCTTATTTGCACAGTACTTGCTTCATATAAATATACATCCCATTATCAATCATCTTGAAGAAGACCAAGCTGAATGCAAGCTTCTTTAAAAGTTGTGCATATTTGTCCATTGACAGTTTTTAAACTATTAAAAAATGTAACTTCTGATATATGTGTAAGTAATATTCATGAATAACCCTTCTGTTGGTTAAACCATATAAAGTCATCCTATTGTTCCTATATTATTTATTCTGCAAATCCATTTGCATTGATCTTTATTTCAGGTTTAATGAATTGGAAAGTCAATATATTAAAATTTTGTGCATTAGGATTATTTGCATTTTCTTCAAACAGTTAAAGTTGTTTTATGTGTAGTTTCTTGATTAATTAATTATATTATGTAAATTAGCATTTTCAGAAAATGTAATCATTTGATAATTTGGAAGATAAACTGCTAATCTCTGTATTTTAGGATTACCTTCATGCAGTTTATGATGAAAAATCCTCCATATACTTTCAGATGATGAAACATATCATGCATCTAAATACATTTTAATGTCATTAAATGGTTTATTTAAATTTGCTATTTGTTATTATTTGTTCTATTAATATTTTGAGAAAATGTTACAGTTGCATGATTATGACCCTTATATATATATATATAT